GACAAACATCTCAGTACCGGCCGCATACCGGAGTCGCGCGTGTTTAGTCTGCAGCTAGCCAGCCGTGTCCCGTGTGTGACGTCACATATATTGACGCTCTACAAAGGACCGCTGAAGGCAGAAAATCTGGATCTCAAAACTAACATTTTTGAGAGTTGATTACTGCGGGCCCCAAACATATTTTGAAGAGGAGAGTTGTTGTATTTGATCAGTAAGGCTTCCCCTTTGCAATGATATGAGTTTTGCATCAATTCAAAACACTTTTGATTCTTCGTGTGCCTACTTTAATCTTTTACCGGGACAGTAAATAGAAATTCAGGATTTCGACGATCTAGAAAAGAATATTTGTTAAATATTTTTTATATGAGATGGGGATGACATGTGCAAGATTAGGTCATATAGTTATAAATGAATCATTGAAACTCTCAGCAATAGAACTAAATCATATGTTTTGACAAAAATCTCTTGAATATCCTGCTTATTACAGTTTCTATTAAGGGCATTGTTGATTAGCTACCAAGTGTTTTTAATGTCATTTCTATGAAATTCAAATTGTTTAAAGAAGTTTTTGTTTTTTGCATTACGTAAAATGCTAGGGTAGGGTCCTCGGGGGGAATTGTCCTCGGGGGGGGGGGGTAATTCTCCGGATGGAAATTTTTCGGGGGGTAATTGTCCTCGGGGGGGGGGGGGGTAATTCTCCGGGGGGAGTAATTTTCCGGGATGATTTCTCAGGGGGTAATTGTCCTGATACGGTTCATTACTTATCCATGTTTCGTACAAACCATGAATTGAACATGGAAACTGTTGACTAGACATAACGGATTTCATATGTTCACTATTTTTACTCACGCTTCTAATATTGAAGGGGATCAGTGAGAATTATTTTCAAACTCTGAAGAATTTGAAACAAAATGATTCACAGTAGAATATCGGGAAGATGGGGGTGCGGGAAAAGGGTCATTTTGGTCGGCACAATACTTAAACTCCGGGGTCAAGTCCATAAGTTTTCTGCCACAGTCAGCTTCATCAAAATTTAGAAAATTAACAACAAGTGAACCATTTTCGTCTGAATTATTTAGTGTACGATGAGAATCATATATTGAGAATAATAAGTCGCCGTCTTGTAACATATACAATGGGAATATATTCATATCATTCGTGCTGTCTTCTTTAAGCTACGTTTTAAGGCGAACATTAAATGGATTATCAGTTTCGGAAAGTTACTCCGATGAGTGACTCTCGGGGAAGAGAAGTAAAGCCCCAGTCCCATATAAAGCCGGACCAGCACGGACGAGCACGGACCACTCCGGACCATCCCGGACCATGGTCTGGGGTGATCCGGGATGGTCCGGGATGTTTTGTTCAAAAAAGTGTGATGCTTTAAAAGCTACAGTCCCATATACGTCCCGGACCGTCCCGGACCATCCCGGACCCCATCCGGGGTGATCCGGGATTCGGTCCGTGTTGACACCGTGTTGGCACCGGGGTGGTCCTGGATGGTCCTGGATGGTCCTGGATGGTCCTGGATGGTCCTGGGCGGTCAATAACTCACTCCCGGACTGCCACGGATCAACACGGACCGCCCCGGCGCCACTACGGATGACCCCGGACCCAGCACGGTGGCTACACGGATCACCCCGGATCAAACTATTGTCCCGGACCGTCCCGGACCACCCCGGCAGTTTTTGACCGTCAAAAACATCCGGGGTCGACTCCCGGACCGCCCAGGACCATCCAGGACCATCCAGGACCATCCAGGACCATCCAGGACCACCCCGGTGCCAACACGGTGTCAACACGGACCGAATCCCGGATCACCCCGGATGGGGTCCGGGATGGTCCGGGACGGTCCGGGACGTATATGGGACTGTAGCTTAAGGGAGAAGGAGAAAAGGGGTGTACTCTTTGAAGCGTATATATAGAGGGAAGAAAATGAGAGCAAAGAAAAGCTAAATATAATGTAATACTTGTTTTGGAACAAGTATAGTTGGGCTGTTCAAAGTGCATACCACACGTAGTTAGTGAGATTGTGATCCGTGACATATTTGACCTTTGACCCTAATTTACATAATAAGTAATTAAGATAACATTGGCATGATTTGACCTTATTTTTTTTAAATAATCCTCTTATTCAGGTAGTGTGCCAAATGTCAAGTCAATACAATGCATAGTGTTAGAGAAACCATGTACAGTAAATTTGACATTTGACCCTAAAATCTAAATAACATAAATACAATGAAATATGAATTTTCTCGATGTTGTGTTTTTTTATGAAATATCTTTCTTACCTATCAACTTGCAACATTTCATATCAATTGCGAATTTCCTAAAGGAGTTATATGTCGTTTCGGTAAAGTGAGGGCCTTTCGCACACTTTAATTTTTTTTTTTTTTTTTTTTTTTTTACACGCGATGTTTTCCTTTGCATGAAAAATTACTTTCTTTGCCTACCAAACTTACCATCCGTTATTCAGAGGCATGATGATTTAGATAATAAGTGCGATTGACTATAGAATTATAAATTCCTTCACTTAAGTGAAATATAAATATATACATTCAATAAAAATGCAAACTTTTGGTGAAAATATAAAAACTGTTAAAGTTGAATTTTAGCTTCTTTCTTTATCATCTAACACCATTCTCCACGTCTCTTTCTCTTTCTCCATCTCTCTCTCTCTCTCTCTCCCTCTCTCTCTCTTTCTCTATCTTTCTTTCTCTCTCTCTCTCTCTCTCTCTATATATATATATAGATATGTAAGGGTTATATATGGTGGCTCCTAAGGGACACGCAAACGCAAAATTTGACGTACACCTATGCAACAAATTTGTGGATTTTCACGTAAAGACGTCAAAATCCACAAATTAGTTGTATATAGGTATACGTCAAATTTGTGGATTTACAGGTCAACTTGAAAATCTACAAAATTGACGTATACCTTTGCTTGGTAATTTTTTCAGTAAGCTGAGCACCATGAAGATAGGAGCACATGGGTTTGTCGATCAGCCCCTAGTTACTGATAAAGGTATCTCATACTCAGTCCAGATTCACAGTCTTCTAATTGCAGACCCTACACCTATACTTATTCAGTGTAGCGTCGTTTGCAGGCACAAACCCTGTCAGTCGTAAAAGAGTGTCTGCACTATAAGACTACCATAGGCCATGTAATATAGCTGCTCCTAACACAACCAGTAGGTAGCTGGAATAGGATCTCTCAAGGCACAATTATTTTTTGACAAAGTGTCAAATTAGGGTCTGTGCTTGCAGACTATTTTCAGTGTGTCTAAAGACTCACTTGTTATTGTTTTCAGCAAGAAGAGGACATTGATGCACTTGGCAATGGAATGCTACAGGTTGCAATGTACATGACTTGTTATTCATTCATTATCAGTATAATTGTTTGAGGACAATCAGATGACTAATAGAGGTAGTTCTGAAACAGTAACAATCAAAATTGGCACCATGTGGACTTAATTATTTCATTGATTTAGTAACCAACAGCAAATAAATACGTATAGGCCTACAATGATTAAAAAAAAAAAATTTCATGACGGAATCGTATATATAAATTATATATTAAAACAAAAGGAGGGAAATAGAGGAGTAAGAGAGAGGGGAAAAAGAAGGTGAAGAGAGAAGGATAATGTTAATAGAGAGCAGTGGCTCCTAAACATATACAATTTCAATTCAGACAAATATAGACAACAAAATCACAAAGAAATACAAATAAATTGAATTTAGCTCAAATTGTTGATTGTCTTCTTCTCTCATTAACGGCAATTACTTCCGTTTGTGCATCTTGTTGCCATTTGCCCCCCCCCCCCCTCCCCTCCTATCACACCCTTTTATTCTCTCTCTATTTCTTTCCATATCCCTCTATCTCTCTCTTCTTTCTCCTAATGTCCCACCACTCTCTCTCCCTAGCTTCTCTCGATCTTTTCCTCTTTTCTCCCTCCCAATCTGTCTCTCCCCTCTCTCTCCTCTTTCTATCCCAATATGTATGCCCCTCTCTATTTCTCTCTCCCAATATCCCGTTCTCTCTCTCCTCTTTCTCGTTTCTCTCTCCCAATCTGTTTCTCCCCTCTCTCTCTCTCTCTCTCTCTCTCTCCTCTTCATCTTTCTCCCAATCTGTCTCTCCCTTCTCTCTCCCAATCTGTCTCTGAAAATAATCTGCAAGCACAGACCCTAATTTGACACTTTATCCAAAAAAATAACTGTGCCTTGAGAGAAGCCTAGCCCAGCTACCTACTGGTTATGTGCGCTTATCTTCATGGTGCTCAGCTTACTGAAAACATTTCGCGTCCAATATTCGCGTCTGCGTGTTCCTTTTGGGCCGACGCAGACGTATATATTTGGCGTATACCTATGCAACAAATTTGTGGATTTTCACGTCAAAGACGTGAAAATCCACAAAATTGACGTATACCTATGCAAGGGTTTTATTGCCTCTTTACGTCCAAGACGTGAAGAAAAAAAAATCTGCGTCCAATATTCACGTATGCGTGTCCCTTTTGGGAGACGCAGACGTGAATATCGGACGCAGATTTTCATGTCTGCGTGTCCCTTTAGGGCCATTGAGTACAGAAAAACGAAAAAATTAACAAGCAAAGGTATACGTCAAATTTGTAGATTTTCACGTCTTTGACGTGAAAATCCACAAATTTGTTGCATAGGTATACGTCAAATTTGTGGATTTTTACGTCTTTGACGTAAAAATCCACCGTTGTTGCATAGGTTTACGACAAATTTGAGGATTTTCACGTCAAAGACGTGAATATCCACAAATTTGTTGTATAGGTATACGTCAAATTTTGCGTTTGCGTGTCCCTTAGGAGCCACCATAGTAATCATCCACTATTGTGGAACAATGGGAACTAGACTGCTGCTAGACAAAATCGCAATGTCCAATGCGTATTTCAAAGGTGAGGCAAACAGGAATTACCAGCAGCAGCTGCAGCACTATGTCACCCAACTTTCATTATTATATTCCCCTCTCATAACAGCATAAAGTGACGTTTGTTGTCATTTTGGTGATCATATTCTGCGTGGTATTTGTTCGGGTATACACTGAATCCAGAGATGAATCACCGAAAGCGATTGGCCAATCTATCCAGAAGGAGTATACCAAGGGCAGAGGGGAACCACATGACCAGGGGCGTGATACACGGGTTCGAATTTCTCCTATTGCTGACCCAGACTTGTCAGAAGATTTGAGTAAAGTGGAGCATGGTGGGATAGGAATGGATGCACATACCTCACCCAAAATCCAAACGCCATTGTTACGTCATATTGCTTCTGACATCATCAGCATGAAACCCGATGTGAGTATATTTATGCATTCACCATATCTATATATATATGGCAATGTAGTGTAAACATCAGAGAAAGAGAAAATAATGTAAAAAAGAAGACGACAGAGGGTGGGGGAGGAGAAAGACATAGAGAAAGAAAGAAAAAAGGAAGAACGAGAAACTTAAATTTACACTTACTTAATGCATTTCCGATGAGTTGGCTCGACATGTGCCTATAAGAAGTTTGCGGACGAAAGTACAACAATACGAGAAAAAAAGTTCTATTAAAACGAGTAATAGCACTGGCGGCTCTTTAAAAAAAAACTCTCATTAATATATCTTCAGTACATGTGTCATTACTGCAAAATAGTGTACATCATATTGTACATCGTTCTTCTAATAAGTTGAAGTATACGATTAACATTTTCCCGGGGAATTTTCAGGTTAATGGCATCCCATGTTTTGGACCTTGCAGCTTTCATAGAAATTATATCTGGACTGTCAAAGGAATAGTTTGACAGGCATTTTTCGAAGGAAAAGAAGCACCTTCTGTTTAAAATTGTAATAGGAGCATATATCAGAGGTGAAATTGGCATTTATTAGAATGGGAGAAGAAATTATTACAAAGAAAAATGGGGGGGGGCACCGTGCCCTCCTTCCCCAGGGAGCACTGCCTCTGTCCAGGGAGTAGTCCAGAATCTGGCCTATTTAATTTTGATCTCCACCATACCAACGCTACCTCTCCCTACTTACTTGCTACTAGCCGATGATGGCGTGATCATTAAATTAGGACGCCCTGCGAAAAAATAATCTGGCCTATTTAATTTTGACTCCACCATACCATCGCTACCTCTCCTTTCCATTTTCTTCAAAAATGTTATTTAGTTCATTGTATTGTTGTTAATATAAGATTATGTTTCCTTTAAATAATATTTAAAAAATACAATTTTTCGTCAAAACTGCCAAGTGCCTTCTGAGCTGAATCTATTCAAACAACGACTGTCAAAAGGATAATTTGCTGGAATGCACGTGAAAGAAAAGAAGACTAACGCTGAATAAACACACTGTTGTAACTCACGGTCTACTTTCATGCTAGCTAGTTTATATTTTACAAAATAACAGCAGCATAGACCTCATCAGTGTTTATTCATACGGACATAAAAATGCATAGATATTTGATACATAACAATGATATTGGCTGCAATAAATCCATATATTTCTAGTTTGTATAGTTTAAAGAAGAGACAATTAAAATTTCATAAGCAATAAATACTTGCAAAAAGACTACCTTCTCACGACCGATCAAAGTGCAAAACAAACTCGTTTCTCTACGGTCTCAAGAGATTGACACTTCACCCACCAATCAGCGCGGCGTAAGCATGATGGTGGGCAGTCCATAGTTTAATGGCTCTCCGTTGAAATTTCAACTAGAGCTACTAAAGTGAGGTTTTTGTCTGTACGGTCCTCAAGTTTGTTGATAACGCCATCTTCGACGGCTTGAATCAAGTGTGTAGGGAAATAATAAAGGACCGTGCATATTCTGGACTATCCAGGGAGGCGCTTCACAAAACTTTTCATCAGTGACAAATAACAATTTGTGTTATAAGATACTGAAATCCTTGCTTCTGATTGGTTATCAGCAGATTTGTCACTGATTTTTGTTATTTGTCATTGAAAAAAGGCTTTGTGAAATGCCCCCTGGAGTAAAACGATATGTAAAATATATCGAAACGTCGATATTTTATATAGAGCATGAGTGGGCCATGTTTAGAACCAACTAACCCTGTCGAAAGAATACGTGGTTTTACCTCAAACTTCGCTCAAATCTATCTTCACCATTAACGTCTTCAAAGATTACCAAAGAATTACAGGCCTCAATAATTATTATACGTATACTTTTTACTCTCCAAACTCGCAGATTTTCGAGACAGTTCCTCGTCAGTTTTTGCCGGATTACAAGAGTCCATGTTGGTTCAACAAACAGAATGAACTCTACTGCTTGCCATATTTCTATATCATTGGCGTGGATAAATGCGGTACGACAGATCTGTGGGATAAGATCACCCAACACCCAGATGTCCTGGCAAGTGTCCCGAAGGAACCACATTGGTGGGGTAAACGTAGGCATGGATGTGAACAACCCCCAATTCACCAAAAGGAAGGTAGGCTTCAGAACTCGGCTTACATTGTTCTCCAATGGATAAATACACTATATATATACGTCATGGATTATATAAGAAATTAGAGGACATGATATTTACTGTCGTTTCCACGACTCCATTCAATTAAGCCTTTGTCAGAGTATCATCACCCCCCCTCCCCCACCCCCGCTGTTATTACCCTTCCACAAACAACATAATGTGTTTAAGCTGATTAAAGACATTACAAAGACTGATTTTCAGTAATTTCAATATCTATATAATTATGACGACATTATAAAAGTTCTGATGAAAATTATGAAGAAACGTTAATACCTCAGTCACACTCACACCACCGGGGCCGACACCAAACCGAACAATCAATTGTATTACCCCCCCCCCCCTCCCTCCCCCTCTCTCCCTCACCCTCCCCCCCCCCCCCCCCCCAGTAGCCATAAATCAGTCTGTTTGGAGTCGGCGTTGAGTCGGTTTGGCGGTCGGTGTGACTGAGGTATGTGACGCGAATAAAACCCCTTCCCGTATCTTTTTCCACTTTAAACAGCGCGACAAATAAGCAAGATGATAGGAGAGAAAAACGACTCGTCTATTGAATGGTATCTCAACTGGTTCAAGACTTTTGGAGTTAAGTCGATTGAGTCAAGTCCTTCTCAGAACGCTGACGGTGATGTCACTTTCCCCAAGGTTTTCTGTAAGTTATCAGGACGTCTCTGTAGTTCTACCAGGAAGCTGTATCATGGTTCTACTTTACAACTCGTTTGCATGGTAATGTGTCTCGAATTATATCGTGAAAGCAGGGGGGGGGGCGTTTCTTTGGGGCAAAAGGGGCAACTGTTTGTCACAGGAAGAGGAAAGTATCAAAAATTGCCCAGAAGAAGAAAACAAATCTAAAATTCGCATCATAAAATTTGAGGAAAACTGCAAAGATGGAATAAAGGACACAACACACATGTGAGCCTACGTACATGTAAGGTCTTAACCCTAATAAGGCCGTGGGGGCATTATGCCCCCCCCCCCCCCCCACCTCAACGATTTTTCTGATTGTTCGGGAACGCATATGGATGGCGCCCCGCCGCTCGCGAACTTTTTTCTTTCGAGTCTTGCGCATGTTTTAAAAGATTTTTTTTTGAAAATCGGACCTACAGTTACAAGGTCACGTTACCTTTTATCTTTGCATGTCAGCCCGAAAATCGCTCATTTTTGTGATTTGTGTACAAAACATATGGAAATGTCATTTTTCCTAAAAAATAGATCAAACGTTGGTTATTGGGTCTTGTTCAAAGTTTAGGTTTTTGTTTTGGGAGTCAAAATAGTTGAATTGTAGTAAGAAATGGAATAAAACAACAAAAACAATAAACTACATAAGTTCAAAAAACAATGAAATACATAAGAAATTATCAAAACAAGAGATAACATAAGGAATAATTTAAGCTGGCTCTTCCAAATTTGTTTGTCGTATTATTATTCCAAATGGTCTAATGAATATATTAAGTGAAAAAGAATGCTTAAACATGAATAATATATGATTTATGGGTAAAAATGTGATTTTATGACCTTATTTGCATAAATTACCATAAATATGCAAATGAGTGAATTTTTCAAAAAATTAAAATCATATTATTCTATATACTTTACTTGACATGCGTGCAAATTTTCGCGGAGATCGGCTGTTTCACGGCCGAGATCTTAAGGGAGGCCATAATGCCCCATGTGGAAACGTTTGCTTGGATTTGTCTCATAAAAGAAGTTGACCACAAACCGACTCCCACACGATGTCGAGTGCTCAGAGGTCACGGGCCACTGGCTTCATCGGGCAGGTAGTTCCATAATTTGAATGGGTAAATTAACTATTACAAAATGAGGGGACACATTACATTGTACACAACAGTGGTGAAAATGGGGCACTTATTATAACAGAAAAGGAGCACCTCTCAGATTTGAATAGGCAATTATCAGAGGTTAAGGGGACACTTATCAGAGGTGTTAAGGGTCACTTATAAGAAGGCGAAACAGGCACCTATTAGAAAGAAAATTGGGCACGTATCTGAGTAGAATTGGCAGTTTTCCTTTGTAAAAAGAAGCACTTTCGGGGGTACTTCAAAAAGTGGGGGCCTGCTGTCCCCTGAATATATTATGAACCAGTGCGTGAATGAAAGCATGAATGAATGAAAATGACAAAATGAAATAAAGAGTGAGTAGTTGATTGATGGATTGATTGCTTGGCCACAAAATTTCTCATTTCAATTTCACTATTTCATCACAATTTTTCCCATTCTCTCTCGTACTATTTTGTCTTCGATTATCTTTGTCTTATCATCAGGCCTGTGATATGTGGGTGTTGGGGTTCCTGCAGCAACTGTAGATGTAATGTTTTAGTGGGTGAATACAAATTCATGGAAATTATATGAAAATCTTCAAATAATGAATCACCATCTCTCCCCCCCCCCCTCTTTTCGAAAAGAAAGATACCAAAGAGAAATTTTAAGATTAGAGAAAAAATAAGAGAAAGGGAAGAAGAGACAGCCAAAGCAAATAGTTTAACAGACAAAAGGTAGATGAAGTATAGGGGTATTGAAAACATGGTATCAATATTTTAAAAAATGCTCCTTTCCCTTTTTCTTTCGTTTTCCTTGTATTCTTATTTGTCTTTATATTTGTTTTTGTTTTAAAATATTTTCATCTCATTCTTTCTTCCTTATTTTTTCCCCATATTGCTTTAGACCATGTTACATTTCAAGACCTTAACATGCATACCTATTGCAGAAAGGATGATTATGTTATGAATGGGTATAATCTAAATGCACAGCAGATCAGGAGGGATATTTTTTTCACTCGGTCATTCTTTTGCCGCTGGAGGACAAGAATCTAACATCGTTTTTTTTTTTAAATAGCCGCATTTGGCTTGGCTATACTAGAGGAAAAACAGTAATGATGGAACAAAGCACATAAGAACAGATGTAGGCATATACAGATAGGGAATCTGCTCTGTCATATGTGTTTTTATAAGAGCTTAGGCTACAGCATATGAAAAAAGGACAAACATGATAGTAGGGGTATTTGAGATATTGTGGGAGGGGTATGAAGTCATCCGGAAGGATATCTCATTTTGTTGCTGAATGGGCACTTTTCTCGGTTTTGGAAAATATGGGGGAGGAGGGCACCAGCCAATTACATGTCTTTTTCTATCTACTTGTCCGAATTTTGTTCGACATTGCGCCTCTTTTTTTTTCTTCTCCAAAAGCCTGAATCCACTTCTCACTAATGTTTACTGTACTCCTTTTCTTCATGGAAGGCGATGCATCCATCAGTACGTGTTTTAACATTGGGAAACCTTGGGAAGAAGGGAACTATACCAATGCTGACCTGATCCACGCGGTCCAACCACAGGCTAAAATCGTCATGATCATCAGAAATCCAACTCAAAGGTATCCCGATATGTTGAATTTTGTGCATGAAATTAATTCGAAGTGTAGGGGCTTCCTGGAAGGAAACATGTTTTACATAGAAACTAGTAAAACATATATACATTTTGTTTTTATTGGGGGAAGGATTTGGTAAAATTATGTGGTTTATCGACGGCGAAGTGACAAAGGAAAGGGATAGAATTGGAAGAAACAGAGAGAAAATTTTTCTTTGAATTGTATTTGAAAATAGTAAATGGCGACTTGTATATGTTTTGTACACAATACTCATACAATTCTTGATTTTTGTAAAGTAGGTTAATACAGAAAGAGGCAAAAGACTAGTCACTAATCGTCAGAGGGTGATGTGATGGGCCATCAGGCATTAAAAATTATCTATATGGAGGGGGTGGACTCATCATACTGACTTGACAATCTAATTATATCACATCAATAAAACCCTCATTTCTTATCTTCTCCTCCATCAGATTTTTTTCGGGGTTCATGTACAACAGCATGTACCGAGATAAAAGTTCCGCTGCCCTTGACCTCGAAGTAAAAGAAAAAATCCACTGCTTGACCAGCTGTCTGCAAAAACATTCGGAGAGATACTGCGTTTTTACAAAGACATGTGTAAGTTGACCATCCTACTATGTCATCTCTTGATCGAGTTCTGTTCTTTTCTAGTGTAAAGTAACTAGGTGGAGAAACCCGGATTCTCTGATGTGAGCGGGGGGGGGGGGGGGTGGTAATCACAAGTCCAAAACAACAAACAAAAACAAGAAACACACCTTAATGTTAAACGAAAGAAAACAAAACAACAAAAGAAAAGATTTGTAGAGGACTGGTGTCGCGTGGTATAATCGATATGTCACCGGACTGTGGATCACATAGCCGTTTGACAAGGCCTCGTGACCCGGGCTATTTTCCGTGCCAATCAGCGGCTGTGATGAGTCTAGCCGGCGACGAAGAGAGATATAGAGACCCGGGGTGAACGCGCGATCGAGTGTAGTCCAGACTCTGTACCGTTTTCGTTTAGCGCACCCAATCAGCTGATAAAATAACACACCCTCAACGTTGAAAGTAGACCTAGCCATTCCTCTAAATCTGGACCTCGCCTCTGTACCGTTTTCGTTTAGCGCACCCAATCAGCTGATAAAATAACACACCCTCAACGTTGAAAGTAGACCTAGCCATTCCTCTAAATCTGGACCTCGAATCGTGTGGACGGAAATTTGGGGATTGCGCGATCAGTGGAGAGACCGCGCTGTGTGTGGGGGATAAAAAGAACGAACGGACTGAATCTGGACTAGATCGAGTGGCGTTATAGCCATGAGGCCTTTTGGATTCTGGCTTTTACTGCTCTGCATGAATTATTCATAACTTTGGATTCATTGACCAATCAGAGCGGCCATTTCCCAGTTGGCTTCGTTCGTGATTCGTTCATTATCAAAACATGCAAGAAAAGGTAAAAGACGTAAATAAGTTTTTTTTAAGAGAGGAACATATAAATGACAAATACAAAATATCACATTCAAATCTATTTTAAATGCAAAATTACAATAAAATAGGAAGCATTTGATGACTTAAGCTAACAATCATAAGTGAGATAATTGGACTTTCCCTGTAGATGAAATGAACCAGTCCAACTTGTTTTCGTTTTAGCCACTTACCTCTACCTCTGATAGAGGTCAGTGCTACGTAGGGTTGTGTGTGTGTGATGGATAATATATTTAAAAAAGATTAAACTCGTTTTAGATATTCCACCGTACTATATGGAAATGTTGCAAGAATGGCAAGAGACAAGTAATTTAAGATATTTGGAGGGTTATATTAATCCAATTATTTTTAATAATCAGAATATATGTATAAATGGAAAAAGTATATTTGATAGATACTTGTTTGAAAGAGAGATTGTTCAACTGAATCACTTGGTTGAGAAAGGCCATGTTAAGTCTGTTAAATATTTTATGAACCTCGGTATGAAAGGTAATAATTTGATACCCAGGTTATGGAAGAATGATTCAGGGTTAATACAATTCCTCGAGGTTGATTTGATAAGCTGTAATACTTATTTCCATATTTCTAGTAAAAAAATACAGTTTGTGGATGTAGGTTCAAGAACAATTTATGATTATTTTATCAAAGCACTTCAACAAACGTATGATTTGCAGGTAAGGGATGGGCAAAATGATTATGATTTTATAGATAAAGAATTAAAAAATATATTTGTGAGACCAAAAATTACTATACTCATTAGAAAACAACGAGAATTTCAATTTAAATTACTGCATGGAGCCATATACACTAATGAGCATCTTCATAGATTTGTTTTTGTAGGTGATAATTTATGTTCGTTTTTTAAGCAGGAAATAGAAACATAGAAACATTTATTTTTATCTTGCGGGAGCGTTCAAAGGATATGGCAGGCTTTAATACAACTTTTTGAGTTAGATGAAATTAAAGATTTAGAATGGCGAGATATAGTTGTTGGGTTGGTAGGTAGTTCACATAGAATAAAAATGTGTAATACTATCATTTTCATGGTGAAGTATGTTACATTTATGTCAAGATCGGGGGGGGCGAGTACTACCTTAAGAAAAGATGAAAAAAAAAGCATTTTTAAGTATAGGGATGAGGAAAAGAAAATAGCAATTAAAATGGGAAAGCTGGAATCACATTTCTTAAAGTGGGAGCAGCTTAAGATTAATTAAGATTTGTTTTCTTCTCCACCGTGAGCGTGTTAAAAGGGTAACTCTATTTTGCGGCCTGGATAACTTATTTAGTATATTTTTCTTGAGTTGAGAATGTTAGCAGACATCCACTGAGTGAGTATTGTGGGTGTGTGGGGGTGGGTGGGTAGGTGAGTATGTGTGTGGGTGGGTGAGTATGTTTGTGTGATGGAGGGGGGCAGGGAGGAGGCAGGATTGTTCCAGCAAAATTACCTCCAGATTTGTTTAATTTTTTGGTTATTATATATAAGTAAATAACATTTACAATTGACATATTATGTTTAGGTACTTATACGTTTACTTAGTTGCTAAGTTATATATACTGCAAATAAGTTTGTGTTTAATTATGTTTATGTAAAAGCATCAATATTGAACACGTTTATTTTATTCAATTGTATGTTATGGTTTGTATTACACATTTGGAGAAATAAAACAAAATTGTTTAAAAAATATTTAAAAAATATGCTGATGTCACGCGATGATACGCTCGCTGATTAGACGCTCATATTGCTCCGGTTGTCTCATTTTCGCCAGCACAAACATAGCTAGTTCGCGTATATAGCAGACGGCAATCGGCGGATCAGACGACACTTGATAGTGATTTTGTATGTGAGATTGCTTTACTAAATATAAAATACAAGAATCTTTTCCATATCTTTAAACTATCATTGATAACTGATAATTAAACAGTTAGTAAAATAAACCTATACCAAACTACATAATACAATGAAATACTTGACTGAAAGTAGGGAGTTTGATGTGGCGCACAATTGCACCCCTCTGTTAATAATCGAATAGTCCATGGTGTTCATGAATATTCATGTTTTTGCTTATCTCGGCAAAATGCTTGCCTATACATTGCTTGTACATTTGTTATATAGGCAATGACGAGCTTGCGAGCTATTTTGATCAAATTACGGTGGGTGAACTTTCAAAAGTCAATGGGACATGAGGGTTCCAATGAAAGAGATAGTGATAACGTACGTCGGGGTGGATGTGCTTCTCGTTTAAACAAGAAATGAATTTTTAACGATTTTTTTTTTTTTTTTTTTTTTGGGGGGGGGGGTAAAGTCCATAGGCTAACGCATGTTAGGCGGCTGGACTCTGCCGATAGGGGGGCGTTCTCAAGTGAGACTAAACGGAGCTATATGACCATTTTGGTAGAGAATTCCAGTCGGAAACAAAGGTTAACATAAGAAATCCAAACCAGATTTACTAAAGGCCTCTTGGCTGACGACACTCGCTTTAGCGTTCACTCGGGGTTTCGCTTTTAGTCTCTTTTTAGTCGCTCGGCGTCTATGAGACATGAGGCCTTGTCTAAAGGCTATGGATCACACGGTTCTCTGTTCGAGTCCAAAACGTGGCACTAATGTACTTTAGCAAGATATTAATCTCGAGTTGCCACTCTCCACCCATGTACTAAAGGGGTCTCCGCTAGGATGCTACAGTTGGATTGTCATGACTTGTGTGCGCTTATTAAATTGGCGTCTGACCGAAATACTTCCCAAGGAGTGCAGCGTGCGTACTATCATGTGCGGGTTATAATAATTACCATGTAAGCGCTAAAAAACATAGAATCAAGCGCTATACAAACGTGACTACTATTATTATTAAAGCAAAACAAACAGGAGAAAGGGACACTACACTTTAAAGTGACTCGGTAACATTGCCTCAGATCTAAAACACAATCCTGGATTTAGCTCAAGCTGCAATTATAATTACAAACCAAGTTCAGCCAGAAATCCCACGGCATTAACAATTAAGCCGATCGCCTGTTTGATTATCAAGATATTTATGATTGGAAATCGAAATTTCATTTTTCGTTTTCCTAACGGTTTTCATAACAATACTATTGGGGGAAATGAGTAGGTAAAACCGGTCACTCAAAGATTTTTACATGAGGCACTTCATGATGATTTTGAAACGCATTTTTTTGTTAGGGCTTCAATATAACACCATATCACAGACACTGTAAAGCCATGCATCTCAGATTAACACTGTTATACAATGCCTTCAAGATGCCTTTTACTCCAAAATGCCAGGACAATCAGTAAATAAAGGTATGTCAGGGAGGATTTTGCAAGGGGGGGGGTTGCTCCATGCCTCCTAACCCCAACCATTGATTATCCATTTCGAGAATAATCGATTCTCCGCATTCTTATGCCTAGGTCACATTCGCTCTACGGCTTGGATACCGCGGCCTTACGCCCCCGAAATCGAGAGATACCTGCGGCGGCCGCAGGGAATCTGCGGTGGCTCCAGGGACTCAGGGTCACCCTAGGGCGTATCCCTATCTTTACAGACCGTACAGGTCTAGGTTCGCCATGGCGATTAGACACGCCGTATATGATGCCGTAGAGCTGTTCCACGGTGACCGTATGTCGCGCGTACGGTGGCATCGCGTTTTATATACTGCAGGGGTGAAGCGGTAGCATCAGTCTGGCCACACGGTCGCCGTATGGTCCCCCTTCGGCCGCCTTGCGGGGCACCTTGCGGCTACCTTGCGTCTGCCGTAGTAGTTGTCAAAGACCTACAGCCGCCGCAGGGAAGCCCTAAGGCGACCATGCGTCATCACTTCAAAGGCCGTACGGCAGTCGCAAATTTTCTGTCTCCACAAATTCAAAATACGCCGTGCGGCACTGAACCCTAACATAATTATGTGACCGCTACCGTGTGTGTGACCGTGGGAATGATGCGGCGGCCCTTATATATACGCTATTGGCCGTAGATATTTAAGACCGCTCGGCCGCCGCGGCAAATATGACCGAGGCATAAGCAATAGCACTTTACTTGTCCGTCTAGTCACTTTTAAAAAGGCAAATTGTAACTTCCTACGATGCATATAAAATGCTAAGATGAAAATTTTGTCAAATGAGTTTCTTACAATTAAGTTTGATTGATTTAAAGGGAGGCTTTACTACTTCAGCCAGAAGGGATTAGAACACACAGCGAGCCAGCGAGGTTACTGTGACAGGTGGCTATCTCATTAACTCAGCTCTCATTTAACATAAGAAAAAGAGGATCATGGGGGACCAACAGGCACCGATTGGGGAAGTTTTCTGTATAGAGGGAGCAAGTAGCTACAAGTAGGACAGTGTGTCTTTAATTTTTCGAATATAGTTGCTATTTTGTTGTTTGTACTTTTTTTAAATGTTGCAGAAATAGAATATAGAATAATCTTTTCTCCAGACAAAGCCTAGTGTTTTCCATTTTATTTGTATGTTAAGTTTGTTTTTGTTTTTTACTTGAAACCAGGTATTCAACTGTTAACAGCATTATTTTATGTTATCCATGCTTATGATTAACAGGAGCCGTTGAACACTATTTACTTAACACTCGTGAAAGACTGGATGAGAGTGTATGGCCGTGATGGAGTCTATGTCTTAAGATTAGAGGACTGGCGTAAAAATTGCGCAGAAGAACTTAAGAAACTCATAATATTCTTAGAACTTCGTAAGTATACATATTTCGCTCATTATTTTGTATGTATTGTTTCATTTGCCTTTTGGTTTAAGATGTTTGTCTTTTTTGCGTTGTTCTTGTTGTTGTTGTTTTGTCTCGTTCGCCGCGTAATTATAACGTTCTGCCTATCCCAAGCAACTTGCATCCAACAACACTTAATTGCATCACAGAATTCAAAATGACAAAATTAATCCACTCAGCCACCTGCCAATCTGTTAATTATATAAATTTCCGGAATAAATGATCGGGTAACTAAAGTGAATGAATATAATGAAAGTGAATGTGATAATGAGAAAAAATAAAGGAGATGGTGAAAAACACAACTGTAAAATCCATAAAGCAATAATATCTTTTCGACGATAATGGTGACCTGTTTAATATGTGCCTGTCTAATGATTCTAATACGCGTTGCACAGGTGACGTCATTTACCTGACGCTTACGAATGCATCAACGGCTGACACGGTCAATGGCGTGCCGTGTGCAGGCCCGTAGCCACGGGGGGGGGGGGGGGGGGGGGCACGGGGGGCACGTGCCCCCAATACATTTCCAAGATCGGTTGAAATCTTTTAGACCCCTCCCCAGGACGTCGATCAACTACATGTATGTGCCCCCCCCCCCCCAAACATCAAACTCTAGCTACGGCCCTGGCCAAGTGTGAGATTGTGCAAATTAAAGTGAAAAATTGACGTGAATCCGGAATGATGTCTCCTGTGCAACGGGCATCATAATCAACGCAAACATCTGCTTCATAGGTATACTATCTTGATCATTTATCGTTATCATGAATGTTTGATCTCTTCTTCTCTCGCAGCTGCTCTCCCAAAAGATGAAATCTTGCGCATAACGAGAAGAAAGACATTGAACGTGAATGCCCGGAAGGCCCAAGGTCCTGCTTTGTGGAACACAACTCGCGATCTCTTACAAGATTTCTTCAGGCCATTAAACAAACGATTTGCCAGTTTTATGAATGATACGAGGTTTCTGTATAATGAGGGATGACAATCCTAAACACACAAAGGATGTGTTTCACCCGGCGATGGGGGGGGGGGGGGGAAGTACCACCACTGTGACCAGTACTTGAATTTACACATATTTTTTTTATGAGGATACAATGCGCAGCCATTTTTTCTGACACATATTTTTCAACATCATCATCAGTTTTTATATCAGATGATATTGCTAAAATGACAGTTCAGTTGAAATAAGGCAGAAAAAAAGTTGGAAGAAATAAAGACAGAACAAAAATTCAAGTGTATGTGGGTGTCTAGGTGAAGTATATTCCGTCGATTCGTTCTGTTCATGAACTGGTCATCTGCATTAATTTATATAAACAAACAATTAAAATCGTTAAGACCCTCATAATGTTTATGAATATAAAATATTTGTTCATCGAGGCTTTGAATGAATAAAGAGAAGCAGAGTGTTTGATATTGTCAGGTAAAGCATTCCAAATATCTGGACCGTGGTGTCTTATCGAATTATAGGCCATAATAACTTTTGGGTTAGTTCAATGGCATTCGGATGCGTGTTGTGTAGGATAAGAATGTATATTTCTATTATACACACAAATATTTCGAAATGCTAATGGAAAAGTATTTATCCAAAATGTATACATAAAGATTGCAGTTTGAAAAATGTGAATATCAGCAATTTGTAATGTTTTTAATTCATAAAATATTGGATCGATATGGGCTGGATAATGTAAATGTGTACAAATACGGAGTACTTTCTTTTGGAGACGATAGATTTACATAATTTTCATCTTATTACTATTACCCCATTTTACCTCGACACAATGAGACATGTATGACAAAATGAAAGAATTTAAAGCATAAATAGTGACTTTTGTAAAAGATAATATTTTAATTTATATAGAATGCCTATGCCACTCGAGACTAACATGCAATTTTAATCAATCGTAACACCTCAAGAATGTTGTAACTTCTTTTACAATTGTGGACATATCATCTATAAAAATATTATAATGAAGTACGTGTTTGAAGTGTATGCTTTTGAAATAAATATAGTTTATTAATATTTAGAGAGAGTTTTTTGGGTTTGACCATAATGATAATTTATTTCATTCTAAATTTAGGGTTGTAATAAGAACGTACATGTATGTCAGGAGTGGTGATGCATTAATGCACGGTGGAAATAGTATATGTTTTATATTTAACATAGGCTTAGGAACCGGGGGGGCTGGGGGGCGCAGCCCCCCCCCCCCCCCCCCCAATATTTTTGGCGGGGCTCTTAGATATCATTGAGCCCCCCCCCCCCCCCATTTTTGGTGGGGCTTAGATATAATTGAGTCCTTAGCGGCTCAGATACCATTAATCCCCCAATATTTTAAGTGGGGCTCAGAAAGCATTGAGCCGCCCCCGATACTTATTGCGGAGCTCGGATATCATTAACCCCCCTCCTCCCCAATCATTATATTCTAGGCATGAAACTCATGTATACCTATAATCTACAGACTTACCATTCAAATATAAACATTTTATAAATATTTATTTGGGGAGGGGGGGGGGCTCAGACATCGGATCTCGGATATCATTAAGACCCCCAAATATTTTGGCGGGACTCTGATATCATTGAGCACCCCCCCCCCCTATTTTGGTGGGGCTCAGATATCATCAGCCCCCCCCCCCCCCCAATCGTTTTTGTTAGGGCTCGGATAACACCACGGAGCCCCCCAATATTTTTGTGAAGCTCGGATAACATCACGGAGCCCCTCGATATTTTTGAGGGGCTCGGATATCATTGAGCCCCCCCCCCCCCAATATTTTGTACGGGCTCGGATAGGCTATCATTGACCCCGCCCTCCCCAAATATATTTGCACACTTAGGTTCTGGACTGGAAGCTTCATGCGTTTCTATAATTGGACTTGAAAACTATTACCCAAAACTTTGTCTCCAGGAACACAAGAAGACAACACTTCTTTGGCACATTTGTCTGAGGCTGCATGTGAAAGAAGCTCCTCAAAAGAATAAAAGTCTGAATTTTTTCGCCTTGATTACATAGACGAGGAACAAAGAATTTATTTCCAGGTGCAAATTAAAGACAAAGGAGGATCTCAGAATTATATTTTTTGGGTGGTGCCACATTTCAGTTTTTAAATATGTCCGATTATAGGCATGTGTGACAATACAAGTTTTGTTTTTCACGTTCCTGGCGTATAATATTTTTTCCAAAGGTGTTAAATGTGTTTAATTTTAACACCTAGTACTTTGTCTAACTTAATAAAAATAAACTGAATATCTCTCGATTCAACGATTTCTTCAAGTAGGCCTACTTTTATTAATTTCTTCAACTGCTTAAAAGACAGGCTACACATGCTTTTTTTTATTGTAGAGCTGTAGTATGAACAGGCTACTTAGTAATTCACATTTATAGATTGGTGCACATCATTATGCTTGATCACCCTCTCCTATCTGTTTGTTTTCATTCCTCTGTTCGTCATATTTTATTTGCTACCTATGATAGTTGAATATTCATTATTTCCTTTTATTATATAAATGAACATGTAAATACCTATATATGCAAAATAAACCCCCTGAGGTTTAAATTAGTAAAGCCCAGGGCAGTTCAACACAGGCAATCATGGAGTTAGGGTGTCTTCATCGAAGTGTCTCTGTAAGCAGGGGCGTCTCCAAAGGGGGGGATGGGGTGCGACACCCCTCCCCCCCCCCCCACCTGTCAGGATATTGTCGGTAAAATTGCGCTGCCGTCGGGACAAAAGAGAAAAGGGGAGGGAAAAGGGAGGGAAGGGAAAGAAAAGAAAAAAGAAAGAAAAAGAAAGAAAAGAAATAAAAGGAAAAATAAGACAAAAGAGAAAAGGGAAACAAAAGAAACGGGGAATGAAAAAGAGGAGAGAGAGGGGGAGGTAAGGGCCTGAGAGAGGAGGAGTGGGAGTAAAAGAGTGAGGGGGTGTTGGGTGGAGTCGTCTTGTCGAGGGAGCAAGAAAGTCACGCATACATGTAAATATGTTGCTGTGTCGGGTCAGCTGTGTCGGTCTTCTTGCTCGATCCTCGTGTACTATATCAATGCAGAAGTTTGAAGTCAATGAGATGTATAATGTCGGTCGGCCAACAAGTTTTTTTTTCCCTACAAACTGTGACTTTTTATCCGCTGTCACGACTTCGAGAGTGACTACAACTACAATACTTGTATTTTCTCGAGGTTTCACTTTCCTATAATATCAGATAAAGAAATCAGAGTTTAAAATTTTCGGGAAAACTAAATTCAAACTAGGATTAGGAGTCAACAACGGTACAACGAATCGTCTTCCTTTCTCTAATATTTTGATGAAACGCCAAAGCTTCCGCGCTTCGCGCAGGAGGGGGGGGGGGGACTGAATTCAGATAAGGATTAAGAGTCAAGAACAGTACAATTTTATTTATTTATTTATTTAAAAATATTTATACAGGATGACAATATCAACCAAGGCTGTTTTTCATATTGGTCCTGTATATACATACATGGTAAAATACAAACAATGAAATACAATATATCAATGAAATACAAATATCATTGAAATATGCAAAACATGAATAGATTATTGAATATTGAATAATATAACATTTTATAAAATAACCAGCAACTGGATACATATATTTACATTCAAAGGTTTACCCAGGATCACAAAAAGAATGATTTGAAACAATGTACGAAAAAAAAAGAAAAAAAAAAACTAACAAACTTGTATTTATTACAGTAGGGTAAAAAAAAATATATATATACACACATCCATGAGGATATTGGTTATTTACAACATTAATGAAAGTACAATCTTTTATAAAGGTATTTAAATGAAGAAATAGATGTAGAATTATGTAAGTTAATAGGTAATGAGTTCCAGATAACTCCTCCTGAGTACATAAGACTGTTCTTAAAGCATTCTAGATTAGGTTTTGGTAATATTACATTTGTTTTGTCAGCGGCTCTAGTATTTAAGTTATGTCTATCGCAGACCATTTCAATAGCATTACACAGATGTGTTGGTGCAATACCATGTACAGATTTATACATTAAAACAGCTAAAAAATAATTTCTCCTTTCGTCAAATGATTGCCATTTCATTAATTTTATTAAATCATCACCTCTAACATTTTCATAGTCATAGTTGGATGTAATTATACGTGCTGCTCTCTTTTGTAATCTTAAGAGTAACTCTTTATTTTGCCTTGAGCAATTTCCCCAGACTGTGCATGAATAGTCAATACATGGTAAAATAATTGTATTATACATGAGCTTTAAGGATTTGACATCTAAAAATTTGGACATATTACGTAATGAGAACAGTTTCATAGAAATCAATCTGGTAAGTCTTTTAACATGAATATCCCAAGTAAGGTGTTCATCAATTTCCACCCCTAAATATTTAAAATTATGAACCTGTTCCATTTTCGTTCCATCCATGTATATATTCAAGTTATATGCTTTACGTGTACTTAAAAGCATAATTTTGGTCTTTTCAGCATTAACTTTTAAATTATTCTGAGTATACCATCTATGTATTGAATGAACATCATTTTGTAACAATATGGTTAGTTCATCAATATTTTTATGAGAAGTATATATAACAACATCATCAGCAAACATATTACAGGTACATGTCTTCAAAGACTGAGCTATATCATTAATAAAAAGTAGAAATAAGATTGGTCCGAGGACACTCCCTTGGGGTATTCCATTTGATAATGTCTTTGAGTTTGAGAGTATACCATGACAGAAAACCATTTGTCTCCTTTCAAACAAATAACTACTAAACCATTTCAACTGTTCATCCTTTATACCATAACATTGTAGTTTCTTAAGTAATAATTTATGGTCAATTGAATCAAAACATTTGGAAATATCTAAAAAGCACGCAGCTACTAATTCTTTTTCATTAAAAGATTCCAGCCAATCATCTATAGTTCTATGAATACATGTATTGGTTGAATGGTTGGGTAGAAAAGCTGATTGATCAATAGAAATCAATTCATTCAAGCGAAGATAATTCAATAATTGTTTTTGGATGACTTTCTCTAAAATTTTAATTACATGACAGGTTACAGATATTGGTCTATAGTTGGTTGGATCATCTTTTTTTCCCTTACCCTTATGTATAGGTGTTACTTTTGATATTTTCCAATCAGACGGAACTGAGCCATTTCTTAGACTTGCATTATATAGTAAAACCAATGGTTTAGATAGAACTGATGCTCCAATACAAAGCAATTTAGAATCTACATTAAATAGGTCAAGATTACTTACATTTCCTAATTTGCATAACAATTCATAAACAACACTTTCCTTTAGTCTTTGAAATTCAAAACTTTAAATACATTCTGGATGTTTCCAGCTAAAATCGTCATTTTTTGGTTTATTCATTTTTCCAACTGACGTAAAAAAATTGTTCAATTTATCAGCACTTAATTCATTAGGCAATACATCATTTTTACGTTTCCTGCCGGTGATCTTATTCAGCTCACGCCATATTTTTTTACTATCTTTTTTACAATCTCGAATAACATCCTTGGTATAATCCCTCTTATTATCACGTCTTAATCTAGTAATACGGTTTCTTATGCATTTATAATCTTTTTTTATTGCTGGGTCGATATCAGATTTCCTCTTTAAAAAATCTCTTTTATAAATCAATTGGACTAATTCTTTTGAAATCCAGGGACAATATCTTTGTTTCATACGCATAGTTTTAAGAGGTGCATGTTTATCACATACCTTAGTAAAAGTTGATTTCCATTTAAACCATTTTTCATCAATATTATACGTATCATCTTCAAAATCAAGATTACTGGTATCAAAGCTTCTTTCTAAGTCCTGTAAAAAAACATCTCTATCAAATCGTTGATAATCACGAAAAGTAACCTCTTCGTGATTATTATGTTTGGTCATTGAAAAATTTATGCATGTATAGATGAGATAATGGTCAC